GCTCACAGACGTGTTCAAACTTGACGAGATACTTCGCCATGTCCTCGCCCACTACGAACGGTGGCAGTTGATCCCGAATTCTAATACCGCTGACCTGAATCGTCGGAGAAGCTGCGCTAGGCGCCTGCGAACACTGTAGGATTGCCAATTCTATTCGTTTCATCTCGAGGCGCTCCTGTCTCTCGGCCTCCTCGCGCTCGCGACGTTCGCGCCTTTCAGCTTCTTCACGTTCGCGAGCTTCTCGCCTTTCAGCCTCTTCACGTTCGCGAGCTTCTCGCCTTTCTTCACGTTCGCGAGCTTCGCGCCTTTCTTCACGTTCGCGAGCTTCGCGCCTTTCAGCCTCTTCACGAGCTTCTCGCCTTTCAGCCTCCTCACGTTCGCGAGCTTCTACTTCTCGCCTTTCAGCCTCCTCACGGCGTGCTTTATAATCCACCCAGGCCTCATCGACTTCCTCAGCCGACACTCCCTCATCCTTCATGATCTCAAGGATCGCTTGCTTTCGTTTCGCACGGCCCAAAGTAATGCCGAGTTCCTCACAAATTTCGATGAGTTCCTTCACTTTAAGGTTCTCCATCGTTCACACTAGCCTCTTGCTGTTTGCCCCTGTTAAGAATCTACTTGCCGTACCCACTATAAGCCTACTAGCAAGACGCGCAAGCAATTTTAACACTGCCGTGTTTACCACCTCCGCATTAACTTTGGTTTCAAAGCACTTCAACTTGGCTTGAAACGATCAAAGCTCACTCGAATGCTTCACACAGCCCTTCTCTAAACTACTACAACCTGAGCTAGAGTAGTCTGGTGAACTGAGGGGAAAACGTCAGGCACTCACCGCATCGATGTCGCTGACGCCGGCCGATCCCGCAGCTGCCAACCACTGTTGCGAACGACGGACCGATCCCGCCAAAGCCACCACTGTTGCGAAAGACGGCGACGCCGACGCGGTCCCGGAGGCGCCACTGCTTTCGACCCCGCCGGGAAGGTCACCAGCCGTTTGGTAGCGTATGTTTCTCAGCTCGCGACTGCTTCTGCGCAGAGCTGAGGAGACGAGCGGACGAGACGACGGTGAGTTAAACAAGGTTTATGTACAGCATATATACAGAGGCGTTACAATTTCGGCACTGGGGCCGGCAGAGACTCGAAGAGCCGAGCTCCTCTCTCTAACACATAGGTCAGCCTTTCGCCTAAAACCGCTGACTCACACACATGTCGGCACTCCGACACGGGGACTCCTCTCCTAGGATCTCCGATCGCGACGCGCCGCAGGGCTTCTTTTATTTACACCGGGCCCAACTAAAATGTCCAATCAGAAGCGCCGCTGGTCTTCCGAGCAGGCTCCTCCAATGGGGTTCGCCGCGCGATGCGTCAGGCCACCAGACATGAGGACGCCGGCTCGCTGTCACGTGCGCAACTGACTCAATGCACGTGGGCCACAGATGCGCCGCGCGTGTTCACGCCGTGGAGTTGTTCGCGCCCGGCGGGCTGCGGGCTGGCCTTGACCCAGATTGCCTGTTTCAGAGGCACGGACGTTTGACGAGGACTCGCTGGCATAACAGTACACGTGGCAAACGCAGTGTAGCGCAAAGTGCTATCAGCCACTAAGCTTTCTTTGCTAGACTTATCAACTGTCCCACATTTCATGGTAAACAGAATCGGAGCAAAAAAATATAATAAATCATATGCATACAAGGTGCGAACGCGGGTAGTGAACAAATAGCACCGATATGCGGGCTTTCTACTATCTTTCTTTCTCTCTCTTTTGTAGTATGCAGATGACAAAGATGTAATTAAGTAGTTCAGTCATGCTACAGCTGTGCGTAGCATGCGGAACACAAGCTAACCACGTAAAACACAACAGAAAAGACGTGATTTAGTGCGAAAGCATGAAGAGAGTCACCCAGGGTGAGCATCCCTATAAAAGGCAGAATGCGCATTACTCGTGGGTAATGTTAACCTTGCATAGGCATTGTGCACCGATTCAGTAGAAAAGAGCGTAGATAATAACAGTAAACTGTAGTCAACGCATTTTATGGCCGACAATCGGCTCAGACCACACGCAATAAAGCTTCGCTGCGTGTATTCGTATACGCGCTGCTGATCGCCTATCCACACTCTCGCGGGACGGTGCTGCCACCTATAGCCCGATCTTGCCGTGAATATATACAACTGCGCTTTTTAATATGATCAAGACATACCTGCCAACCTGGCAACAAAAAAATTTGTAAAACCGCCGCCGAGCGGGAAAGAGGGGCGGGGGTACTGATTTTTTTTCTTTAGCTGTAACGAATTTGCTTTTAGCAACAAGCATAATCATGTTTTGCCTCCATAAGACAAATCCTTCAAAGAGTTACCAGCAACAACTCAATAGGGCAACATTATTTTTGTAATGATTTTGCTGTGGCGGACTTAGCCCGCTTGAGAAAGCCCTACGTGTAACTTTGCTCAAAGCAGGTTCCACTCTGGTGCCCTTTCACCATCATCAGGCTCTCTAGGATTTTTTCACTCACAGATGAGCAGAACCCTGAGTTTTTTTTATGGTACTGAATATTCTTTAGCATTCAGCATTGGAGAATGAAGAGAATGCCCAGCATAACAAGTGAAATATTGTGGAACCTGAGTGAACCGTCAATACTTCCAACTTCTCCCTAACGCGCCCATTCCACGTCACACCTAGGCTCTTTCAAAATGTCTGCTGGAACATCATATGCTTGCAAGCTCGCAAACTCGACCTCGACTTTATCAATTGCAATCACTCTTGGTTTCCCGCATTGCTGTGGCAAAAGACCAGGGAATGCAGTGACGAAATGACATACGCTGCTGAAAGAAGCCATTTGTAACGAATATAATCACAAGATGCTGTGAAGTACAGACGTACAGCAGAAAATAATTGTTCTGTTTCCCTTGAGTGCAGCGTCTCCACAACAGAAGGGATCATGCTGCCAATAACATGGTCTTCGTCTGCTCTTTGGTTCTCTGCAAGTCCATAGCAAACTTCAAGTAATGAATCGCATTCTTTCAAGACACCACGCCGCACAAATCTGGTGAGGAGATGTTCGAGTGGGCGGTTCAAAAGGCCTCTCAGTAAGTGAATATGGGGAGCTTGTTCTTGAAGAATACAATTTGTTTTCTCAAAAAGCGGCACTACATTCTGCAAGAATAGGCAGCATGCCCTATGTAGCTCCGATGACAGAAAAACAAACAGGCGCTCTTCACGAATCAGGTTGATTCGTCTGGATTCCGTAGTCTGAAGCTTCATCTTTTTGGCTTCAGGTGCAAGATGAACACTTTTTCTTTTTAGTGGAACCACATCGGTGTCGGCGCTTTTTTCCGAAGACTAAAGTGCACCTTGGAGTAAATGCAGAGTTCGTTAGGGTTTGTTGAGAAGTCTTTGGAATCTAGTATGACTCCAAAAACAGGCTCTGCTTATTGCACTTCTTCAGCTCTCTCTCTCTCTCTCTCTCTCTCTCTCTCTCTCTCTCTCTCTCTCTCTCTCACACACACACACACGCACACACACACACACACACACAAAAAACAGAGATGGCTTCCATTGGTCTAGAAATCTCTTTAAAGACTTTCCCAATGAAAGCCAACGGGTTGACAAATGCTTCAGCATCTTCCTCACCTCGACGTCCTGCATTTGCTGAAAATCTTTGAGTCAATCTTTCTGTTTCACACTTTTTTCAGGGTAAAAAAAAATGTCAATCAAAGCTTCATCAACCTTTACGTGAAGACATGATGCTCCTATTTGCACGACCAAATTTGTCAGATGGCACGAGCAACCGATCCCAATCAAAGCTAGTTCAACCTCTTTTAACACCATTGACACACCATTTTTATTGCCAACCATAACACTCGCGTTGTCCGAAAACAAGGCCAACAAGTTCTTCACTGGCAATTCTCGGGACCTCATCGCATCCAAAATCAGATGCCCAATCTTTTGACCAGTCGCCTTAAATTGTCCCGAGGCAAAGAAGGTGGCTTTTCATTGTGATAGTTTCTTTTACAAAATGAGTCACTAGAATGGGATAAAGCTGCGCGTCCCTATTGTTAGAGCCATCCACAGCAATTGAAAACGCTTGCCGTTTAGGGCATCCATCAAGGACGTATAAGCTTTGGCAGCCATTTCCCGAACAATTGCAATCGTCTTTGTTCGCCCACAAGCATAGTGTTCCGATTCTTCACACTTCGGAAACATTTTTCGGAATAACGTTCCAGCGTGATCACTAACACTCAGCGAAATGTTGTGTTCCAACTAAATTGCTGTCACTAGACACTGTAAACGAATAACACCGATATCACTGGCAGTGCGCACGAAAGTCTAAAAGCTTGGCTGGTTGTCAGCCTCTCACAGGTATCCCTGGTACTTTTTCGTAGCGATTTGCAGCTTAATCTCGGATTTCCTCCATGAGAAATGTTCACATCACATATGCAGTGGTACAAAAATCAAACTTCTCGACTTTCTTCGATAGCACAAAGCATGAAAATTCCGTCGTGTACGATTTCAAAAACACTTGAAAGTACTGTCGCGGCATTGAGCCTGCCATCGTGCAGTAAAGCAGCAATGCACACGGCCGCCCTACGGTGTCGGACCAGACGGTGTTGGTCAGACGCAGCGGCCGGAAATACAAGCCTGCCAAGATTCGGAGGAACGCCGAGGAAGTACGTATTCGAACAAGTTCGATCATCACCATCACTTTGTTCAGATGGTGCTATGACTTAAACACCCTTTTTGGTCAAACCATCGGTTCATCAGCTTTTCAATTTCTCCCCACATTTGCTTCCTCCAAGCTACAAAATGTGCTGCAAGAAAACTTGTGCTAGTTGCTCATACCACATGCAGTAGCTGAGGAAGAAGCCATTTACCACAGATAAGCTCAGACAACCTTTCCTACCCCTAGCAGCACTAGGTTGTCTTGCCTTCACAAATGATGGACACTACGAGTTATAGCAAGATCTAAGCACAAATCTAACTTAGCGATCCCAAGTCAAAGGCTCACCTGGTCAAACCAGTAATAGAGAGGCGGTGGGTACCCTTCAGCAGAACACTTCAAAGTGCCCGGAGACCCCTCGACAAGCTCGCTGGAGTCAAGCACCGTGGGCGAGATCTTGGGTTGTGCTGAAAGAGAATGCAGGGTTGTCTCAACAACGGCCCCTGCTTCGACCAAGACAGCTCTCCCTCCTTCTTCTCTGTTCCCTAACGCTCAAAAGGTTCACATTCTAATGCTATGCAGGCCTCTCTAACTGACCTCCAGTTTACTTCTGAGCAGATTTCATTTTATCTCAATTTGCACTTAGCTAGACTGTGTTTCCAATCCTTTGGTCTGACCTATGCACTCAATATCAACAAGGATATCTGCCACTCTATTCTATTGCCTCACCAAAGTAGGTCAGGGAACAAACAGGATCAGAGGATGTCAGTGCATCATCGACAGATTTCACCGATGATGAAGTGTCACATTTATTTTAGAGAAATTCAGGTGAAAAATGTGGACAGAACTCATGGCGTGATGCAGATGGTTATTTGCCAGTTGTGAGCTTTACGCATGCTACCGGTGTCTTTGTTTCCTTCACCCTGTATACCATATTTACTCGCATAATAGACACACTTTTTTTCGAAAAACCCGGTGCCAAGTTCAGGGTGCGCCTATTACGTGGGGTAAACTTTCCAAAAATATTATTTCCAACTACAGCATAGACTGCTAATAATGCAAGCGACTGAAGTCATGAATATCCGCACTAAAGCTGAAATAACCTTCTTCATAGGCCATACTAGCGCAAAACGTGTTGAACATGCAGTCTCGCGTACCCGGAAATCGCAATGCGATGTGCTTACAAGCATTCAAATTATTAAAACTTATCTATAATCCGCATTGGGAACAGAATGAACAGAGAAAAAAACTGAGAAAAGAAAGTGCCATCGCGAAAATTCGTGGATGTACGTTCCAGGCCACCACCGAAATTTTGTGCTCTGAGCGGTACCGATCGCACGATTTCATGGGCTTGCACCCCATATCCAAAGAAACTGCAACGGAATTGCGAACCACCTTCAAGTGCTATAAGTGCCACCCATGACCCCTTTCCTTCAAATAAAGCCACCGCAATGAGTTACGTTGATTCCGTAGAAAACCAAACTTTGATTGCCCTCAACCACCACCTAAAAGCAACCAACGCTAATTCGGCCTAGCCCACGGTTTGGCATGTTGTTGCGGGAAGTTTGTACAAGACATCATGAATATTGGGTGACAAAAAGATCGCTTTCAAGCACTGACCCATATGAACAGCGCGCGCGATGCAACATTTAGGTTCACGACAGGGAGATAAATGGTGACAAAAGTCCGCCGAGCTTGTGCAAGTCCGCCTAATGGCAGCTAAGGCAAAAGCTTGCATCTGAAAGCCCGAAAGCTTTTAAATTGCGGACGAGGTAGCAAGTGCGATAATAACGACGTTTTGCCCGACAGAAAACTCAAAGCGCATTTGATGAGGACGCTATCGCACGTTCCATGCAGAACGCGCACAGCCAAAACCACCTCGGCGCCGGTGCAAAGGTTACTACGATGCCCAGGCAACTGCCCTTCACACTCAGCGAGCCAGCGCATCTGACGCGGCACTGCCACTGTCTTTTCTCATTTATTTGTTTTCTTCGCTCCAGTTTACGTGAGAGGTCGTCGAATGGCAACCATGCAAGTACAGTACAGAACTACTAATCACGCCCAAGTTTGGGGTGCGCCTATTACGTGCGGAAATGAAAAAAATCCGATTTCTCATTACCAAACTGGGGTGTGCCTATTATGCGAGTAAATATGGTATATGAGTCATGTTTTCATCAATTAAACAGTTCACACTCGTGTTGTGTACTATGGATGCTTATTTAGAGAGTCTGTCATTGCATCAGAAGTGTCGACATTCGTTTTAAACAAGGGCCCGGAATAATTACCACAATTCCTTGCATGCAACCAATACAGAAAAATTCAGATACACTGAGACCCCAATATAATGATCCGTATATTGAAATATTAGTTATAACAAACTAAATAAATAGTTTTGCAATAGTTATAGTGCTAAAATATACCTCTAAAACGAATTTTCACATAAAGTAGAACTTTGATTATATGTACCCCGGTTTCGCGACAACCCGCATTTTATGACATATCATTTTGGTACCAGCGAAATCTTCAAAGAAGTTTATTCAAGTACCCTAAGGGCCCTTCTAGGGGCGTTACATGGGGGGGGAACATAAATACAAATTTTTTCAGAGAATGAATAATTATAGGTTAATACAATTTTACGGTATAGAAAATCATAAACATCAATGCAAGCAATACAACAAGAAATACAATAAGCAATACAACATCGAATAAAGCATCATTGTTAATGAAAGAGACATGGTTCTAAATACGTGAGCAATTCTGAATTAAACAAAAAAGGTTCACTTATAGAAGCAAAATGGTTCACTTATAGAATGCAAGGTAATGCATTCCATTCATTTATTGATAGTGTTAATGACAAATTTTCATATTTTTCTGTACGGGCGAAAATGGGGTTAACTTTGAAAGCGCGATTGGTACGCCTCCAAGATGCCGGCTTGCGCCTGAAGCTAGCAAAATGCAAAATAATGAAAGATTGCTTTGAGTACTTAGGACACATCATCACCGCTGAAGGCTTGCATCCCAGCCCCAGGAACGTGGAAGCCATCCTCTCGACACCAAGGCCACAAGACGTAGAAACTCTGCAAAGCTTTATGGGGTTGATAAACTTCTACCGGAAGTTCATCCCTCGCTCGTCAGCGGTACTCAATCCATTGAAAGGTCTATTGGTACCAGGTACACCATGGACCTGGGCACCACGTCAGGAGGAGGCCTTCAGCGAAAGTAAGCAGCTCTTGGCATTTCCGATGACATTGGCGCACTTTGACACGAAAAAAACTACAGTGCTTGTAACTGATGCGTCTCCATATGGTCTTGGCGCAGTTCTAGCCCAGCCGGAAGCGTCGGGAGAACAGTGACCAATTGCTTTCGCGTCCAGAAGCTTGGCCACAGCTGAACGAAACTACAGCCAGCTCGATAAAGAAGTCTTAGCAGTTGTGTTCGGGGTAACACGTTTCAAGCAGTACCTTAGGAGACAGCGATTCGAAATCGCAACGGATCACGAGCCACTTTTAGGGCTTCTGGTGGCAAATAAGCCGATTCCAGGATCTTGCTCACCTCGATTACTCTGCTGGGCACTCTTTTTTTTCGGGCTATGATTATGTGTTGAAGTACACACCTGGTGGTCACATTCCACACGCCGATGCCCTGAGCCGACTTCCTCTTCCATTAGCCGATTTTGAAAATGAGAACCCGCCGGAGATTTTTATGCTCCAAGGATTTTACCCCAGAGTGATATCAGCGCAAGCTATTGCGGCCGCTATGAGCGAAGACCTGCTGCTGTCACGTCTTCGCGAAGCTCTTTGGGCTGGCAGGGGAAATGCCCTAGAAGCTCCATAGAAAAAATACACTAGGTACTAGTATTCGTGACATGAATGTGCAGAGTGATTGCATTCCGCTAGGAAGCAGGGTGGTTGTGCATGCGTCTATGCAGGTCGACGTGTTAAGACTGCTACATGAAGGGCATCCAGGAAAGGCCAACATGAAAGCAGTGACCCGTAGCCACGTTTGGTGGCCAGCCATAGATGAGGTCACGGCAGCTGTGCAAGCATGCCGCACCTGCCAAGAAGATCAGCAATTACCGAGACGGGTGCCAATCAAGCCATGGCCATTCCCATAGAGATCGTGGTCTCGGATTCATGTAGACTAAGCTGGACCACTAAGGAATGCTTACTTGTTCATAGCGGTCGACGCATACTCGAAGTGGATAGAAGTGTTCCCCATATCCAGCCCATCGAGTGCAGTTACTACTGGTTGCCTGCGAAAAATGTTCGCTACTCATGGACTCCCTCGTGTAGTCGTATCCGACAATGGTCCAGCGTTCGTGAGTGAAGAATACAAGATCTTATTGCGCAGAAACGGCCTCCGACAAATTCTTGTACCACCTCATCACCCAGCCTCTAATGGAGCAGCAGAGCGTGCAGTACAGACCATTAAACAGAAGCTGAAGAAAGCGCAGCTAGAGAATGATTTGCACACATAGATAGCGAGAATTTCGCTCACATCCCGAACCACTCCGCACGAAGTAACAGGTTGTAGCCACGCTAAACTTCTCATGAACCGGAAGTTAAAAACGGCATTAGATTTACTATGGCCTGAGTTACGGACCACAGTGATGTCTCATCAGATCTCTCAGACTTTCCAAGTCAACAGAGGATCGGCAGGAGCCGTAGCCACACCACTGAGAACGTTTTCGCATGTAGTTTTCGTCTAGGCAACGGTAGAGGCGAACAAAGGTATGCGGCAGTGCTAAGACTACCAGATGACCGCCAATAGACGCGGCACCATGATCATGTGCGAGCGGTGCCGTGGCAGCCTGAGCCGTCAAGAGTATTCTGGCCACTTCGACACAGACCCTCCAGATGCTTCAAGCGTGCAACGAGCTGTCGCCTCCTCGTCGCCAGTTATGTTCTCCCTAGGCAACACACAGACAAGGCTCAGTTCAAATGTTGACTAACCTATGCAGCCAGCAGCAAGTTTATTTCAACGATCACGAGAAGCTGAAGAAAGCGCAGCTAGAGAATGATTTGCACACATAGATAGCGAGAATTTCGCTCACATCCCGAACCATTCCGCACGAAGTAACAGGTTGTAGCCACGCTGAACTTCTCATGAACCGGAAGTTAAAAACGGTTTTAGATTTACTATGGCCTGAGTTACGGACCACAGTGATGTCTCATCAGATCTCTCAGACTTTCCAAGTCAACAGAGGATCGGCAGGAGCCGTAGCCACACCACTGAGAACGTTTTCGCATGTAGTTTTCGTCTAGGCAACGGTAGAGGCGAACAAAGGTATGCGGCAGTGCTAAGACAACCAGATGACCGCCAATGGACGCGGCACCATGATCATGTGCGAGCGGTGCCGTGGCAGCCTGGGCCGTCAGAGTATTCTGGCCACTTCGACACAGACCCTCCAGATGCTTCAGATGCTTCAAGCGTGCAATGAGCTGTCGCCTCCTCGTCGCCAGTTATGTTCTCCCTAGGCAGCACACAGACAAGGCTCAGTTCAAATGTTGACTAACCTATGCAGCCAGCAGCAAGTTTATTTCAATGATCATAGGAGCGATAAAAGGCGCCATCCTGTGGCGCTATGTGAAACTGCTTAGGCTGATAGCAGCAACATAACGGTTACCTTCTGCACTTTTCAGGCGATAGGGATGGGCCGACTCATTTGATCTCTCCTTCAGCAGCGCTCACGCGCTTTTATCCACTAGTGAAAGTTGCGATGGGCGGGGGTATGCTATCAATTTGGACTTGTTACGGAACATGGGGGCGACGGCGAAAACCCACCAAGAGTGTTCATATAATTTCTATCGCGTTTTTTTTTACTGTAAAATAAGTGTTTGGGAATATATCTGCCTTCAGTCCCTTTTTTGTTTAATATGAGGGTTTATTTTTCTAATTTTCGACCAAACCTGCATATAACGAAATCATCTTTGTAACGAATTTTTCTGGGAGTTAAATTCGTACTATCCAGGTTTAACTGTACTGAGTATTATTTGGACGTTTCAGGCCTTTGCAGATTAAAGGGAGCAGATAATCATGCACCTTGAGGGCATGCTTCTCTATAAGATACTGCAGGTAACAACGAACCCTAGAGAAAGGCCACCATACCTGCAAAGTTCAAGGATTCTGAATCCGGCAGATTTCCGAAACGGGCGGCGGGGTGGGGGTGGGGGTTGAATTATTTTTCGCTATTTTATTGGCTCCAAAAGAAAACAGAACAAAAAAACATTGCTAAAAACAAGAGGGAAGGGGGGGGGTCCCAATCGCAAGCGCGAACTTCAGAGCTGCGGTCTTGTAGTAGGTTGAAGTGGCCGAACACTTGAGGGTAGGGTTTGCCACTGGTAAATAGATAGGGTTTCCCACAAGGAGAGAGTCTCCAAGGGGAGCACACATCCAGAAAGTTCACGTCATCAAAACAACTAGTAAAATCTATTTCCGTCAAAACAACTCGCGTATGTCTACCTGGGACACACGTGAACGAACGGGATGGCACAGGTGACTGCCACGAAAGCACGGGTTGAAGCTTTGTTCACTGGAACGCCAAATTTGACTAGAACGCCAAAACGCGTCTAGCCCTTTCTTTAACGTGTTTACAGCCTTTAGTCTACCGCTGCATTAGCTGCATGCCCTTGGAGCTCGTAGGTCGCTATCATGTAATCGCGGCCGTGGTGTTTCGCACGAATGTTGCAGCGAACGGTAGTTTTGTTTTCAATAAGCGTGCACATGCTGCACATGTGTCTTCAAAACTGAGTCGTTTCATGCTATCTATGATCTCATCTGCCGTGGTTTTGTCCGCAGAGTTTGCAGAAAGCAGGATTGCTTTTCACTAGTCGAGCGTTGGCCACGTGCACACTTCCAGAGTTCTATAAGTTATGTCGTCGCCATACAAAATGATGTCAATAACGACTGCGGTTTCATCCACAGTTGTTATGGCACCCAACGTTTGGTGGCAACAACAACCACACGCACTGTCTTCTACAGTGCGTGCGCAGGTTGCACACGCACTTCCGATGCTTCGAGCATGCTGCTCTTGAACTTCGTTCAACGATTTCAGTACTAAAGTTCATAGCACCTGCGGCGATTAGAAAACGTGTTCAGGAACATACCAATTTTGGCCCAATAGACACAGTGGAATTTGGCTGGGAAGTTTTGTGGATCCGCATCTGCTGCCATTTCGCATCACTGATATTCTACTATACGCTTATATGAACGCCTTTTAAATTCCTTTACAATAAAGTGCGATAGGTTCGCAAAAAGCCTGGAGCGTATTGACCACCATTTTTGTCAATGCGGCCACATCACGCACAAAAATTTCAATTTCCGGGAGATTTTCATGACAGTCGTACTGACAGAATAAAACGTCGAAATTCAGGAGATCTGGCAGGTATGGGCCACGACTCACTGTAGACGTCCACGGTGATGTTGCGCTTCTGGAACTTTCCCGTGACGGAAACCATGGCAGAGACTACGTAAGTGCCACGGTCTACGTCCTGCGCAACTGGCACCAAGATGCCGTCCTCTTTGCCCTCGTAACGCTGGGGGTCGAGTTCCTCGCGATCCTTGAGCCAGCTCACCAGGGGCACAGGATTGCCTCGCACACGACATCGAATCTTGCCTGGCTGTCCCAGGATCAGGTGTTGGCTCTGCGGGCAGTCCTCCCACGTAATGTCATCTGCGAAGAAAACACTCATTCAACACACAGGGCATGCGCAAAAGCCTCTTGGTCATGGCCCGCGAGGGGCCATTGCATGGCAAGCGTGCAAAGTCGTACATTAAAAGGCTTCTTGCCGAGAAATCACAGCAATGCTAAGACCCAAGGCGTCCCTGGCAGCGCCTATTCAAGGTATTCTCAAAGGACCCCCCGACACCAATTTTGGAAACTCTATATGCTAAAGTTATTTGACAGTCCTGCGTGCGTGGGGCACTCTTGACAGCTTATTAGTGATGAGCATTGTCTATAAGACATTTTATTTTGGTTTTAAAGAAAGAAAGCGTGCTCGCTCGAATATTCATATAAAATTGACATTTTCGGTGGTTTGAAGAAGACAGGGAGTCCCCTTGGGACATTGCAGAGGTCAAGCAAGTATTGTTGACGTCGGAAAACATTTGCGGGGTACGCACAATACTCGCACCCAGCAAGGACTATTGTTCGTCACCCCTCTTTTGTGAGGCTGCTCCAAAGAATGCCTTTTTTTTATGAGGTGACGCTCGGAGCATCCACATCGTTTCATTCTTCACTGCTTGCAAACCGTGTGGGGTGCTATAACCCTGTAAAGTTGTTTGTGCTGCGTGGCGCACGTGTCCCGCGCAGAAGCCGTATTTCATGGTGGCAACTATTGAGGTGGCATGTTCGCAAGCATTTATCACCACTATCATCATCATGGTTGGATGGATGGATGGATGTATCCGGCTGTGCCCTTTAGATCGGGCAGTGGCTCATGCCACCTAGCCATAAAGTCAAGTACTATCACTGTGTTTAAGAAATGAATTTCACTCGCGCCTCGTTTGTAGCCACCAATCAGTTAGCCTCCTCCTGGTTATTTCTACCCGTTTAAAGCCTATTTTACCTTCACTGTCCCTACACCCCAATGCTTTGAAAAATTTGGTGCCATTATCTTTGACCATAAGGTGGACCCTTTACAGAACATTATCAAATGTCCAGCCATTTACCTCCTCCTCTCCACACATACTACATACTGTGTCTATGCCTTCGTATTTTGCTCGGCACGTCTTGGTCCGCAATACTCCCATTCTAGCCTCAAAGAGCAGAGAGCTACCCCGAGAATTGTCGTAGATCTTTTCCCTTGCAAGTTCGGTAGGTCTCCAGTGACAATTTCTTAAGCACTCCCATCTTCCACATCTCCCTCTCCGTTTCCTTCACCATCTCCTTAACCGATGTTTCCTTTTGGCTTGGTATTATTCTGCTGTTGTCTATATAATTGGTTGACAATTTTCGAGTTTGCTTCCTCCATTTAGTATCAACATTCTTCATGTACAAGCAGCTGAAAACTTTCCTAGCCCAATGCTCATCTCCCATTTTTCTCAATCGCTCCTCAAATTCTATCTTGCTGCTAGCTTCCCTGCACTCAAACTTTGTCCATCCCATGTCTCCCTGTACCCCTTGATTTGGTGTATTCCCGTGTGCTCCCAAAGCAAGTCTACCTATGCCACGTTGTTTAATTTCCAATCTTGCTTGAACCTCTGACTTCATGCACAAGACCGCATTGGCGAACGTCACACCCGGCACCATGACACCTTTCCAAATCCCTCTCACGACGTCATTTCTACTGTAGTTCCACAGTGCCCTATTTTTCATTACAGCTGCGTTCCTCGTGCCCTTAGTCATTACGTATCTTCCATGCTCCCTTAGATACTCAGCTCCGTTATTTATTCATATGCCCAAGTATTTGTTTTTATCCACTATTTCTAGCGTGACTTCCTGTATCTTCTGCTCACTGCCTTTGTTATCATTAAAATTCACGATTGCCAATTTTCCCCTGCTGAACTTCAAATTTAACTTATCTCCCTCATTGTCACAGATGTTTATCAATCCCTGCAGATCTTCCTTGTCGGCTGTTATTACTATATCATCTGCATACATCAACGCTGACAACGACTGTTGAATGTGTTTTCCTTTCTTCGCAAAAGGGAGGCTGAGTCCGAGTCGACTACCCTTCAATTTTGGTTCTAGTCCCTGGAGATACAGCATAAATAACAAAGGTGACAAGGGACATCCCTGTCGAAGCTTGCGTAGTATCTCTATAGGTTCATATACCTGTTCTTCTCATTTGATAACTATCTTGTTACTTTTATACATATATTTTAGAAGATTAGTTATTCCATCTTCCACATATACTGCGCTCAGTAGTCCTCACAAGTCTTCTTGAATCACACTAGCGTAAGCTTCCTTGATATCTAGAAATGCCAGCCGCAGGGGCCTGCGTTATTTTTCCGCTATTGCGATACACTGCATCAATAAAAACAGATTGTCCTCCAACCTCTTTTGTTTACGGAACTCACTTTGTAGTTCTCCCAGCACCCCCTCATTCTCCACCCTTGTCTGTAGCCTTTCCTTTACTATCTGCATCAGCATCCTGTGAATAACTGATGTCACTTTTATAGGGCGGTAGTTGTTTATATCAGCTTTGTCCCCGTTTCTGTTATAGATCATGCTCATTCTGCTTAGTTTCCACCCATTGGGAGCTTCATGCTCGCTGCCTCTTTTAATGTTTGCTTAAAGTTTGGTCCTAGTTTCTTTATTAGCATAGTTGGGATGCCACCAGGTCCAGTTGATGTGCTATTATGAACCCTCTTCTCTGCCCTTTCCCGCTCTCGTCTCAGTGGAGCCACTGAGCTAATTGGTCCACCCTCATCTGGTACGGTGAATGCAGTGCTTTCTTGGTGTTTAAATTTTCCTGTCATCATTGTTTTTATATATTCCATTGCCTTATCCCCTTCTACTCTGACCCCTTGAGCTGTAGTTATAAACCTCTGTTTCATACTTGTCTTATTACTCAGAGAATCAAGATGGTCCCAAACCTTTGCAGCTGCCTTTCTATCCTTCTTGTTTACTTCCGCCATCGATTGGGCCCCCTTACTTCTAATAGTGTCACTGATCAAATCGGACACTTCCCTTCTGCAGCTCAAAAAGTTATCCGATTTTCTTTTGACATCATCTTCTGGGTAGGCGGGTAGTGCTGGCAGTGACCCCTTGTGGCAAGAGAGAATTGCGAGAGTCTCTTTTGCTGGTGGCGTTTGGCGCAAACGGTTGTCTCTCGCAGTGGGACCACCGGTGCACAGCACCGCGGGCCGTCTGCCGGGGCCCTTCTGGTGAGTCAGGTGTTGGCGACACCGTTGTATTTGTTTTGCTGTTGAGTGTTGCATAATTATGTGTAATAGTGTTTTAGCGTGTTTGAGCACAATTGTTGTATAATTATTCGTCTGACGATATCGTCATTCTAAAAGTAGTTAAATGTATGTGTTGTTGGGTTTGTTCCGACCGAGTCTGCTGTGTCCGTTCACTCCAAGAGTGGGGTGGCTCACCACCTCGAGATCCCGTGCTGGCTGCCTAATGAGAAGCTCTTGGAGCATCGGACGACCGTTTTCGCGGTTCGGTGCAAGCTTTTGCTTGAACCAGGGAAGAGTAGCCCTAGGGGGACGTCCATTGCTGGCGTCGGCGGTGTACTTTGTTGAGAGCAGGGAGATCGGTTTTTGTGACGTGTTTGAACTTGTCGGCACATTGAGTTTTTTTTTTTTTTTTTGTGCCCGCAAGTGTTTTTTTTTTTTGTTGTTGTTGTTGTTGTTGGTGGTGGCTTTAAAGAACGTTGTTCAGTTGGAATGAGAGCCATGCGGTCTGCATCCTGGGGTGAGCAAAGCTTAGAGCACGTGGATTGTAGGCCAAACCCGAAGCGAGTGAGTACAGAAGCCTTGTAGGTGGTCTGAGTTTCTATGAATAGCCTTCTATCTCTTTGGATTCAGAGAGTCTGGCGTCGTTGCTGTCTGTCTTGCGGCTTGATGCCGGGGCGTCGTGACACGGGATGGTGGACGACGATCGCTCGGTAAGCTGCTGTGTGCAGTGAGCGATAGGGCCACCTTACAGAGTGAATGTCTCCTTGCGGCTGCCTTTTTTGTGTCTAGGCGGTGTGCTGGGTGGGTGCCGGTTGTTGTCGAGCGACTCATTAGGCCTAAGGCACTGCGCAGCTGCCTGTCGAAGGTGGCACAAATAGGTGAATCGAAGCATTTAGGGATAAGGCGTCAGCATCGTTCGCTGATGAGCACGTACTACACGGTTGGTAGCTGTCAGACCGCCCTTAGAACCCCTAGCTTACACGCTCAATACAGCCAACGCCGCCCCTGCGCGTAACATTCCATGGCAGGAGCGCGTGGGCATGAGCGGTGCAACCCAGAGCGATGACCACCTGATCGAGGGGACTTACGATCAAGCCGGCGTGGTTTCCGTGGCCCTTGCTATCGGTGCCGCACACCGGATCAGAAGCAAACAAACGGGCGGCGCCGCCGATGATCCACATCGGACACCGCGCAGCAATCAGTAATTCCACTGATGCGTTCGGATCACTTGCACCCTCAGTCTGTCGCACAAGTGATGCCGTAGACTCGCCCGTGCCGCTAATCGAGTTAGCGATAGCTCGAAAGAAGTTCGCAGCACTTTTGGATACTGGGGCAAGCGCTTGCCTCCTCGCAAATACGCGAGGAGGAAAGCGCGCTGAGAAAGCGAGTAACCCCTCTCCCCTGCAGCAACAATGTGCCGCGCTGCAGGGAAGGTCTGCACCCACTTTTGGTAGAGGCACAGGGCCTTTCAGAAGGGGCAAGAGCACAGCTGTCGTCGCTGTTGTATGAGTACGATGCGATGTTCACTTACCGCACTATGCCGGTCAAGCACAGAATCAACACAGATGATGCAGGACCCTGGAAATGCAATCACCGACCCGTCCACTTGGCTAAGCAAAAAGCACTTGACGCGGCCTTGGACAAACTCATCGACACAGGCATAGTTGAGAGGTCAAACAGCTAATGGGGTTTTCCAGTAGTTCAAGTTCCAAAGAAAGATGATACATATTGCCTTTGTGTAGACTACTGCAGGCTGAATAAGGTTACGAAGAATAACGCATACCCTCTTCTTTCAATTTTTTTTTTATCTTGCGATGCACAAGAAAAAGTGACCCTTGCTTTCTTTTAGCTGGGCGTCTCGGCCGCCACCGATGTATTAGCTAGCAGTACTGAGCATCGTACCACGTTGGCAAGAAGCCCGAAGCTCCCTTCCCTCTGCGCTACTGCATTGTTCTGTAGAGTGTTTTGAAATGTACGCCGCAGGAATGATGTAACCCGCGGCTGGCTGTCTTCTGCACATCGTCAACGCCGCTGGCCAGGAATGCGGTCGTGAGATGGAGATGCCTGGGACCTGCGTCACTGCCTGCAGTCCAGCCCCATCGTGAGTGCTGGTCGCAGCCGGAAGACTTGTCGGTGCGAGTGACGGTTCGTCGCGCTGATGGCAACGATGCTGTTGCGGGTACCAGTACCGAGGTGAAGTTGTCGAGCCGGATAGTGCAGCAGTGTCGACCGGCAGAGGTGTCGTGGTGCATAGACATTGTGCAGGAACATGTGTTGTCATTTTTCGTTAGAGCTTGCGTATCCGATTTCTTTCATGTTTTTCTTTTCCGGATATGGTTTGAATAAGGATATGGAGAATGTGGGGGTGCTAACACCCCCTGTAAAGTTGTGCCGCGTGGTGCACGTGTCTCGCGCAGAAGCCGTATTTCAGGGTCACAACTATGGAGCAGTAGCTGGCGTGTTCAAGAACGTTGATCACTATCATTATCATGGTTAGAATGGTAGCATTGGCAGAGACTTCTGGCGGCAAGTCTTGGTGGCGCCAAGAGAGGACTGAGCGAGTCTCTTGCTGGTGGCGTTTAGCGCGACCGGTTGTCTCTTGCTGTGGGACCCCGGTGCATGGCACTGCAGGCCATCTGCCAAGGTCCTTGTGGTGAGTCGGGCATTGGCGACACCGCCTTGTGTTTGTATGCTGTTGAGCATTGCGTAATTAAGTGTAAGGGTGTTTTAGAGCGTTTGAGCACAATTGATGTATGAATATTCGTCAGACATATCCGTCAGTAGTTAAATGTGTATGTTGTTGGTTCGTTCCGACTGCGTCCGCTGGGTCCGTTCACTCCAAGAGCGGGGTGGCTCACTACCTCGAGATCCCACAACTGCAGGTCCACCTATTTAGAAACGGCATGTCCAGCGTCACCACAGCTCGAATGCATGTAGTATCAAGCGCTGCTGCCCCACTATGCCGTGCTAGTTTCTTTTGGTATTTAAGTGGACATATCAAACTGACGTAAAATCCTTCTGAATTAATGATGCTAACATTAATTATCTGATGTGTTAGGGCAGTTACGATTCAATTTTAGCATTACCAGATGGAAAGCTACAAATTACAGTAAAAAAGGTGCAAAAAAAGCTTTCACTCTCAGGGGTCCTTTCAATGACAACCCGAGCAGCACCTATCGATCTTGCCCCACCATATTTCTTTATTCTGTTACAAGGATTGCTTGCACACCAAAAGCCATTCGTTTCTTCCAATGAGTGCAGAGGGGGCTCTGAAAAGAAGCATGCACCGACCCTGTGAGCACATTCTCGCGATCATCGAAACATCCAATGACCATGTTCTTCCCTACGTAGGCCTGTTGATGACAAGTTGCTCAGAGAAAAGAAAGTGATTTCTGGTAGTCTTTTAGTGGTCATAAGAATCCTTCAATTTACAGATGCCAGTACATTAGTCAAACTGGCAGGTGCTTTAATGAAATGGCTAAGGAACATGATTACAATGTGTGTAATACGAATAAGTGGTTTTTTGGTTGCCCATTGCATAACTGAATTTCCTGCTGCATACAGCGCTACAATATTTGGTTCACATGGTCACAGGAGCCCCAAATACTTTCTGGCAATGCTCTAAAAGCATTAGAAGGCCCTTTTATACTTGGATTAATATAAAACAAATACATCTTCGCAAGTGTACTTTCTTGCAATAAAGCCTTTACGACAAGCCCCATTCAAATACAAGTTCAAAACATAGTTACTCCCAAGTAGAACAAGCAAATCAATGCAAGTGCAAAACACGAGGCCATATTTTTCTCCCGCTTTAGTGAGCACTGTGATGTGATCAATCGAAATCATTTCGGCACAGCTTCTGGAGGAGTTGAAACATCGCTTTGGATTAGTCAATCAGCCTCTTGGAGCAGTTGCCAGTCACACCTTTACCAACCCTCTTGTCATGCATAACAAAAAAAATATATGTATATATAAATGTATATTTATATATGTAACATACAAAAATGTGATTTCACTCCTCCTTGCTTTCCTAGAGACAGGCCTAAATATCTATCCTATATCTATGACATCAGGCTGCTTGACATTCCCTTGCGATAACCTTCTTATTCAGCTTACCCCAATGCTTCAAGCTGCATGAATTTTTCACTTTCTTTTCTTCAAAATACAGTAAAAATAGCGTCTTGGTGTGTGCTAAATTATGTAACTTCGGTCTATATGTAGCGGGATGTGGTAGGTTTCACCCTTTGGTGCAGTATAGCGCAACTGGTGTAATAATTGGTACATTCACAACTGAGGTTCATTAGTGGTAAGAGTTAATGAAGAGAATCTTAATAACCTGTACTTCGCTGAAGACATTGCCTTGATAAGTTACTGAGGGGACGAATTACAGCTCATGATTACTGAACTAGACGCAGAAAGCAGAAGAGTAGGTCTAAAAGTTAATATGCACAAAACTGAAATAATGTGCAAGAGTCGGCAGAAAACAGCACTTTGCGATCGGTGGAGAGACGCTGGAAGTTGTAAAGAAATATGCCTACTTATGACATGTAGTAACCGTGGAGTCAAACCATGAGAGTGAAATAGCTAGAAGAATAAGGATGGGGTGGATCACATTCGGCAAACATTCTCAAATCATGAATGTTAATCTGCCACTAACCCTCAAGAAGGAGGTATATAAAAGCTGCATCTTGCCAGTACTTATCTTTGGAGCAGAAACCTGGACGCTTACAAAGAGGGTTCAGCCTAAATTGAGGACGGCGCAGCAAGCGATAGAAAGGAAAATGATAAGTGGAACCTTAAGAGACAAGAAGAGAGCAGAGTGTGTCAGGGAACAAATCAGGGTAAAGGATATTACAGCTGAAATCAAGAAGATAAAAATGGAGATGGGCCGGGCACATAGCATGTAGTCAGGAAAACCACTTGTCATCAAGTGTAAGTGACTGAATTTCCAGAAAAGGCTATCGCACGAAGGGGAGACTGGAAGTTAGGTGGGCCGAAGAGATTAAAAAGTTCAGAGGTATAACGTGGCAGTAGAAAGCACAAGATGGAGTTGATTGGCAGATCATAGAAGAGGTTTTTGCCCTGCACTTAACGTAGTCAGGCTGATGATGGTGATGCAGTAATTTCATCACTTTCAGCTGCTGGTTCCCCAAAAGACACACACTAGCTTGCATGCTCATGGTGTAATAAAAAAAAAGTACTCACGGTAGAAGGTGATGTGAACAGTGACGGAAAGAGGAATGGTGCTTCCATAGAGGGCGCTGCATGTGTAAGATCCACTGTCCTGTGGAGATGGGCTGTCGAAGGACAGAATGTAGCTGTCACCCGTAGACACCACTCGTATGTTCTGTTCACTGTAACAGGCAGGAAAAGCACTCAATCAGAATGCCGCCTGGTTTCTTGGTTATTTTTTTATGGCAATGAGTCTCACTCACAAAAACTGTTAGTACCAGCACAGGCTGTAATACAATGTTCAAATGCTCTGGGATGTTTTGACATTGCTCTGTTTATATCATATGCAGGACACAACAGTTGATTGGTATTTTCATCTTCAAACCACACACAAGGACCGAAAGGGAAACAATTGCACTGTTTTACTCACAACTAGAAAGTTCATTAGAAAGAACACACACTTTTATACAATATGATGTCACATGCACACCGATGCCGTTTAACATAAACAACAGTGAAGTCCAACATGTGCATGAATCCACCACGTGACGTCAAAGCCACAGCAAGAAAAATTTATCACCAAAAGATGCCTGAAGAGCAGCTGAAGACTAGTCCATCAAGTTTATTGTAGAGCTTATGAGAGTAACAGTGATAGCACTAAAAAGATATCACAGATCTGTCAAGGAATATGCATTGTGCCGACAATCACATTGCTGACATCTGATGACTGTGATCCGTCTACCTTGGCTTTTCATGTTTTGGGCACAATCTTACATATAAAAAGAGTGTCTTTACTGGGGACAGCTGCCTTCTTCATTTCACAAGATAATACTGCAACAGTAGCTCATATTTCACGATTACGGTGCTACGCGTCAGCAAGCTCCCCCAATACTATTAATTCTCTGTGCATTTCCTGACCATGCTTGTCTTCTCTCAACATGCAGAGGTTATTGGCTTAAGCTGACCTGGCTATCTGTAAGTTATAGTGTCAGCTTTATACACACGGCCTGTCGTGACTTTCATGGTCTGCTATAGGTATATATTTACGATATGTGGCATATACGAATATATATATTAGTATTAGCGCTAAAACACCCTACTCTCTTCATGTGCCACATGTGATTCTTTCAAACACTAAATGTGACACTGTCCCAGCAAAATTAAAAACGTCGCAGTTTTACCACAAGGGCAAAGGAATGAATGTGATAGCAATCACTTGAATTTCACACAAAAAACAGACACAAGATTGAAAATGCACAGTGCGTTGCTCAAGAAAAAAATACACAAATAGAACACAGACAGGACGAGTGCAAACTAACAACGTTCATAGCTGAACACTCAATGCGCTGCTTGAACACGAAGGATGCACAAAACATGTGCACAGATACACACACAGGTTGAGCGGAAACTATTGTCACAATTGTTACCACACAAAGTTCTAAAAGTGCACTCTTTTTTGAAACGGGGCACTTCGCAGCAAAGTGAAGGAAGATTCATGCGCTAACTACAATGCAATCGTTCCAGTAAAAGCCCGAGACGTACAATTTTCGCGTACTGCAAAATAGGCACGCACCCACCGTAGGGTAAAGTACACGTTCATAAACAAATTCCACCGCACACACGTCATTAAAATGCAGTGGTGCTGTTGATGATGATGATATATGGTGTTTTTTGGCGCAAGGGCCATTTGATGGCCAAAGAGCGCCAGTTCATGGGATAAGGAATGTGGACAATGATTGTGATTAGCGGCTGTATAAGGGCCATAAAATTCCTCGCGGTAAGGCGGGTAAAAACATACAAGTAATAAAATCATGACCATGCCGTGAAAGGTGTGTGTCGTGCGAATAGATGACAAAAGTTGATGATAATAAAAACGATGGCGGACATGTATGGCATTACCACAAGTGCCTCACTCGTTCGTACCCTTGCGTCCAAGGGCCGTGAGGCAAGTGCTTTGTTGTGTAGCCACCGCAGCGAAAACCTCTCTGGAGAGGTCGTGCTACGGAATGCCCGGGTATATGATATGAAAATTATGAATTTCTTTTAAAAACGCTAACAATGATTTATAACTAAAAAGCGGTTCCCTACCAACGAACATTGCAGGGTGTAAAGGTATATGTTGTCGGTAGGGTAACGGAAAATGCTGTTTTCTTAGAGATTCTAAGTGTTTGCACTGAATTAACATGTGAAGGACTGTCAATGCTTCACCACATCTGTCACACAATGGTGGATCGCCTACGGACAAAAGATATGTGTGTGTCGTGTATGTGTGTCCTATCCCGAGTCTCGTTAGTATTACCTCTGTATGGCGCGATTTTGATACTGGCAGCCAATGACCAAGATGTGGCTTAAAAATGTGTAGTTTATTTTGTGTGTGTGTATCCCACTTGCTCTGCCAGTATACCCTGAGGTTTCGTTTGAGAGACGGCTTAAGATCAAGGGCCGGGATTGATATGGGTGTAGGGGCAGTGCTTTTGTGGACGGATGCAGCGAGCTGATCCGCCCTCACGTTGCCTTGAATCTCTCGGTGCCCTGGCACCCAGCACACTACAACATGTTGGTTGAGTGTGTAGAGTGAGCATAAAATGGAGTAAAGTGAGACGAGGACCGGGTTTTTTGTTTTTTAAGACTGCAGGGCCGTTACCACACTAAGGGAGTCTGTATAAACTACTGCTTTTTGTAAATGTTTGATGTGTTTAGCTGCCACAAGTATCGCGTAAGCTTCCGCTGTGAAGATACTTGTGCCTGGATGCAGAGGGCCAGCATCCGAAAAGAATGGGCCGACAACAGCGTAGGACACAGAGGAGTTGGACTTGGAGGCATCTGTAAAGAACTCAGGACGTGTGTATTTGTGTTTAAGTTCCAGGAAGTATGTTCGGATATGGGCAATAGGCGCATGTTTTGTAACTTCAAGAAAGGACACATCGCAGTCAATAGTCTGCCATTGCCACGGTGGCGGATATGCTACAGGAGCCATTAAACTGTGTTCAAGTGACTCCAGTTTCCTCAGCTAGACTTTTCAGGCGAACTGAGAAGGGCTGCCTCATCGAAGGCCTGTTTTGAAACAGAATGGAGCTCGACAAATCATTAATAGTACAGTATGAGGGGTGCTTCTTATCTGCTTTCACCTTAAGGAAATAAACAAAGGACATGTAAGTTCTCTGCAGATGAAGCGACCACTCATTTGACTCAACATAAAGGCTTTCTACATTGCTGGTGCGAAAAGCACCCGTAGAAAGGCGGATGCCCAAATGGTGCACGGGGTTCAGCATCTTCAAAGCACTTTGAGTTGCAGACTGATAAACAACGGCCCCATAATCTAAGCGGGTGTGAATGAGGCTTCGATACAGATTCATGAGACATTGCCTGTCACTACCCCACGTAGTACGAGACAACACTTTTAAAACATTCATGGCTTTTAAGCATTTTGTTTTTAAATACTTGATGTGCGGTACGAAGGCCAACTTGTTGTCCAATATTAATCCTAAGAACTTATGCTCCGCATTAACAGACAAACGTTGACCGTTCAGTTCAATGTCGGGTTCTAAGTGCATGCCTCTCTTTCGAGAGAACAAGACACACGTGCTTTTTTATGGGTTCAGTCGGAAGCCGTTTTCCTCTGCCCATTTGGAGACCTTGTTTAAACTTACCTGGACCTTCCGCTCACACATTACCAGATTGCAAGACCTAAAGCCAAGCTGGACGTCATCGACATATGTACAATAAAACATATTGTGAGGGATGGTCAAGTGCAAGGAATTCATTTTTATGAGAAAAAGTGTGCAGCTAAGTACACCACCTTGTGGCACGCCTGTTTCCTGGACAAATGTTTGGGAAAGAACCGTGCCCACACGGACACGGAATGTCCGGTTTGACAGGTAACTTTCGATTATGTGAAACATTCTTCCGCGCACGCCAAGGTGGGACAGGTCTCTTAGAATTCCAAAACGCCATGTTGTATCATAAGCCTTTTCGATATCGAGGAACACAGAGAGAAAATATTGTTTATGGACCAAGGCGTCTCTGATCTGTGCCTCGATACGAATAAGGTGGTCTGTGGTGGACCTACTTTCTCGATACCCGCACTGAAATGGGTCGAGCAAATTGTTTGTTTCAAGAAAATGTACAAGGCGGCAGTTTATCATTTTTTCGAAGACTTTGCACAAGCAGCTTGTAAGTGCAATATGCCTATAACTCGAGGGTAAAGAAGGATCCTTGCCCTCTTTCAAAATGGGAATAATAATAGCCTCCTTCCAGGAGGTAGGGATAGTGCCAGAAAACCAGATAGCATTGTACAAACAAAGTAAGGTTTTTCGTGTTTCGTTTGGTAGGTTTTTTAACATTTCATACACCACACGGTCAGAACCTGGGGCAGAAGTACTACAGGAGTTTAGAGACATTCGCAGCTCAGCTAGACTGAAAGCTTGGTTATATGCCTCGGATCTAGTGCATTTGTGTTCGAGTTTCTGCTTTTCTATTCTTGTTCTGTATTTTTGGAAAGTGTCAGTATAGTGGGATGAGCTGCACATCTGTTCGAAGTGTGCACCGAGGAAGTTTGCCTGATCTTCCAAGGTATCAATCTGAGTGTCCACGAGTGGAAGTGTGTGTACTTGTTTTCCTGCTATCCTACCGACCATGTTCCAGACTTTAGCCTCCTGTGTGTATGAATTGATCCCTGACAAAAACTTCTGCCAGCTTTCTCTTCTGGCCTGCCGACGCGTTCTCCTGCCTTGAGACTTTACGTTATTGAAGGTGTCAAGATTTTCAGCTGTCGGTGAGTTCCGAAGCAGCCTCCAAGCTCTGTTTTGCTGTTTGCGCGCGTTTCGGCATTCAGAGTTCCACAATGGCACACGCCGTTTTCCTGGGTGTCCATTTGTTTGTGGGATGCATTTTGTTGCAGCATCAATCAAAAAAGCTGTGAAGTAGTCGACAGCAACATCAATGCTTAAAGTACATATGTCACTCCAATCTATACGAGCGATGGTATAAAACCGTTCCCAGTCGGCTCTGTTTATGAGCCATTTAGGAACACGGGGTGGACACTCATTTGCTGTAGTTGTGCTCAAAACTATGGGAAAGTGGTCACTTCCGTACAGATTACTGACGACTTTCCACTGGAGTAGAGGCACAAGAGATGGAGATACTATGCTTAGGTCTATGGAGGAGTAGGTGTTATGTGCGA